GTGTCGCGGGGGGGGGGGGGCGGGGGGTGTGTCTCCTTCTCTAATGGCCCAGTCCAAGATTAGGACCACTGCCTCCAAACCCTGTGGGCTTTGAAGAATCATCTCCTCCACTAATTGGTGACCCAGTGGAGGAGCGCGGAGCCAATCAGAGTCCTCCTTCCTGCGACCCTCGGTTCCCCCTGCTGGCCTCTGGTAGTTGCAGAGGCAGCAATTAAAGGTAGAAATTTGGAGTCGGTCTTCCGCCTGTTTTTCAGTTTCCGTCTCCTCTCTGTGTTTCAGGTCCAGGTCTTCGGCCTCTACACAAGAGAGGGTTTCCACGAGAACTTCGACTATCCCATCAAAGTACGTTTCTGAAGTTTGAAGCCGCAGCAGCAGCAGCAGCATCACGGCCATGAAAAAAAAAAGTTCTTTCATCTCAGTGTCATTATCTGCTCTCTCCTGTAGGTGGTAGCGTTACACCCTCAGTTCACCAGGTCAAACTACAAGCAGTTTGTTACCGGGGGCAATAAGGTAGGTCTGAGGGGCACTTTCTGCTCCAGCGTACAAATACGCTGCCCATTTTTCACACCGTTTCCTCCCGTTTCGTTGTTCATCCCTGACTCTGAGCAGGTGAGACGGGATTGGGCGAACCTCCCGTCTCACCCCGGGTTTGGCCACAGGTGTCACGCAGGCCTTTGTGTGGTGTAAAAAAAAAAAAAAAAGGGCTCTCACTTTTCGGCGTCGTTGCCGGAGTGCTCTCAGGAGCGCGGCCTATTTTCATAAAGTGCCGTTTCACTCGACGGCGATGCTCCAGCAGCACGGCGAATAGATGTCGTTATCCAGAGGTTCCATCGCCTTGGCTTTCCTGAGCTCACACTGCCATGGCTCTGTTAGAAAGTTGTGTGAGTGTGAGTGTGTGTGTCACTGTCACATTGGTGAAGAGATCCAGACGTTAGATTTGTCCTCTTCCCCCCTCTGGAATTGAACCTTTGCTGCCACATGCCAATTACACTATATAAACGTGGTGTCGTCGCGCGCAGACGTCCATAAATAAAAGTATTCTGACATTTATACCACAGGGGCAGCGGGGAAAACAACTTTTTTTTTTATATCGGACCCCTGTTGTTAGTGTTACTTTGCCATTTTCTTTCAATTGGCGCTGATTTCTCTTAGTTCCACGTCGTGAAGGCCTCCACCGGGCGGCTGTGATGAAAATCAATACGCCTCAACAGGAGCCACATCCTGTCAAAGGAAATTCAATTTTGTCCACAGTTCTTTTGTCATATCATCTCTTTGTGGAGCAAACTGTTTATTAATCCAGCCCACACTGATAAATTAAATACTATACGGGGTGTATATATATATATGTGTGTGTGTGTGTGTAGTCAATCTGGTGATATTATGGGCTGTTTGGTCAGATTTACTCTGGTTACCTTTTATGGTCTTATAGACCGTGTCGGTTCGATGGGTTCTCTATGAAAACATGTCGATTTCTTTTTAGCTCTTTACACTTATTTCGCAAGTAATACAACTTAAATATTTATATAACTGAAAGAAATATATATGTACATATATATGTAAGTAGTAGATTTTGTATTGTACTAAATCAAATATAATTCAGTCAACTGTTACATATATTATACAGTGACAAAAAATACACACAGACCAAGAAGACTAGGCACATATATATTCATATATATGTAGGTGTGTATGTATGTATATTTATGTGTGTATATTTTAATATATATATACATACATATGTATATATGTATGTATATATATACATACATATGTATATATGTATGTATATATGTATATATACACATAGATATATACATATATACACATATATATACATATATGTGTGTATATATATATATATGTGTATATATGTATATATACACATAGATATATACATATATACACACATATACACATATGTGTATATGTGTGTATATATATACATATGTATATAAGGTTTTGGAATATGTTTAGCAGATATAATGAAGTTTGTCATAGAAATAATACGGCAAAATAAAACACTGCAAAAATTCAATGACAATTTTAATTAAAATTTAATCCATTTATTTCTGTGCACAAAAATTCAAAATAATGCAGCTTGTAGAAAAAAAATGAAAAAAGGTTTTTAAAATTTAAATGTCTTTATTTGACATCTGGCAGTAACTCCAGTGAACGACGTGTTTCCTGGAGAAACTGTGACATTAATGATTCAAATGGACAGGATGTAGGAAGTCATTCATGACACCAACCTAAACGACGTTCTTTACCACCGCAGGTACAACGGTCCGTGAAGCTGCGTCACTCAGGTGGAGTCTAATGAGCACATTATCTGTAACGGCTGTGGAACAGATATATAAAAAAATAATAATAAAAAAAAAACACGTTTGAATTTTACAGAACATTCTCTACACTTTAATTCAAATCTTTCAGGGCGGTTGACTTTCACTCAACAGCCCCGGGGCTGCAGCCCTCTGTCTTATTTGCTGTTCTTCTACTGCCCTCTGTAGGCGATACAGAGCAATAGCAGCCCTGAGATGCTGGTAAAGCCAAAAATGGAAAGTATTTTTCTTAACGATGTTCTGATTTTTTATTTTTATTTTTATTTTTTTCAAGCTCCTTCTCTATGAAAAAAACTGGCCGAACCGCTGGAAAATGTCAGTCCTTCACGAAGGCGAGGGATCCATCACCAACATCAAGTGGAGAGCCAATCTCATCGCCTGGTCCAACAACCTGGTGAGCCTTCAGTCACGGCGTCTGAAGAAACATGAAAAAAGTACAAACATTTAACGTCCGTGTGTTTGTGTCTAACGTTGTCGAAAAATGTTCCGATTTAACGTCCGTGTGTGTGTGTGTGTGTCTAACATTGTCGAAAAATGTTCCAGTGTGTGAAAATCTACGACTTCAGCACCAAACAACGCATCACCAGCGTGCTGAGAGACAACGTGAGTCTGAGGCCGGACATGTACCCCTGCAGCCTGTGCTGGAAGGACAACACCACGCTGATCGTGGGCTGGGGCACCTCCATTAAGGTTGGTTTCGTTGTTGGGTTTGAATCCCCCTTGTTGTTGTGGAGGTTGTTGTTTTTTTTTAAGGTGGAATTCTGTTTTTTATTTCTTCACAGATTTGTACCGTGAAGGAAAGAAACCCCACAGAAATGAGAGACCTGCCCAGTCGCTACGTGGAAATAGGTACAGACTGACTTTACTCTGAGTAAAATCACTGACCTCAACACTACTGACACGACTCTTTCACCAAAGAGTATTACACTATATTAGATGAATAACTAACTAGTCACAATAACTAACCAATACAGCACTATGGAAATGTAATGTATACATTAGAGCTACATAAATATATATGAAATATATATGTATATGGGTGTTTATGTATATATGCATCTTTATACATATATACTTATATATGTGTATATATGTAGGTGTGTGTGTGTGGGCATGTGTATGCATGCATATATATGTTTATATGTATATATATATTTTTTAAAAGGAGGTTAATGTAATAGATGTAATATATACACCTCCCTACATGACTATAATAGTGTATATGTTATACAATAATATTAATTACAGTATATTTGCTCTGCCAATATGTACATTTTTTTACATATTGATGCCATAATAAAATCAATATATATATTTTTTTTAATGCTGACTTTAATCATAACTATATATTTACGACATGTAAAATAATTCAGTTATTGGAGGTCTACAGAGGATCCATTTAAACTTTATTTAATAAGGTTGATGTAAATGAGATGACTCTGTTTCATCAAAAAATTAAAAGGTATGAAACACTAACAAACTGAAATCTGAAATCAGAAAATAAAACAGTTCTTACTGTAAACAACTGGAAGTTTGTTTAGATTTATTTAAGGTCATTGAACTGATTGATTGAAGTGAGTCTTGAATCTAATTTTTTTTTCTCTCTCTTTGAACAGAGTCTAACTTCCAGACGGAGTTCTTCATCAGCGGCCTGGCACCGCTGGCAGATCAGCTGGTCACTCTGTTCTTTGTCAAGGAGAACTCTGATCACATGGTAGTGCACCATGTTTCTGTGGTCGCTGTGTTTAGGTGCAGGTGTGTGGAGGGATACAGAAAAAAAATGCTACTTTTTCCTCATCTGTCCCCGTCTGTCCTCGTCTGTCCCCGTCTGTCCCCGTCTGTCCTCGTCTGTCCCCCCAGGATGAGGAGTTCCGCGCCCGCCCTCGCCTGGACATCATCCAGCCTCTCCCCGAGGGCTCTGAGGAAATCTCCTCCGACGCTCTGACCGTGCGCAACTTTCAGGACAACGAGTGCCGAGACTATCGGCTGGGTGAGACTATAAAAACCGCCCCGGGAGAAATGTCACGCAGCCTTTGACTGCAATCTGATTTCATTATGCGTCAACTGCCAAATGTCAGCCGGAACGTGCAGCAGACGGAGGCATGAATGTATTTTCATTAACAGAGCATTCCGAGGGAGAGTCACTCTTCTACATCATCAGTCCCAAAGACATCGTGGTGGCCAAGGAGCGCAGCCAGGACGACCATATCGATTGGCTGCTGGAGAAGAAGAAATATGAGGTTTGCATTGGTGCATTTTATGAATGTTTCCAAAGGTTACAATAAATAATGTCAGGGATGAAAACTTTGTGTCTGATTACGGCGTTTGAACGGTGACAGGAGGCGCTGATGGCTGCGGAGATCAGCTTCAAAAACATAAAGAGACACGACGTTCAGAAAATCGGCATGTCCTACATCAATCACCTGGTGGAGAACGGAGAGTACGACAGCGCCGCCAGGTGGGCGTCCATTTTTTTCTCCTCGTCTACATAGTTAGATTTCCATACACATTTAATTGTATGTAACTGAGAAAAGCTATCACAGTTCTTCATTTAGCACAGCAAGATATGAATACTGGAGTGTGCCACCTATTGGGGAATTGCGGGTATTGCAGGAAAAAGGCAAAATGACATAAGTCTAATGATGATATAATTAGATCATATCATTTGGACAAGTTCAGCGGGCCATATTAAAAAACCAAGTGGGCCGTATCTGGCCCCCAGGCCGTAGTTTGCACATGCCTGCACTTTAGTCAATTGCAGTTTCCCAACTTTTTACCTAACGTAGATTATCTCATTGCAGGAAGTGTCAGAAGGTGCTGGGGAAGAACATGGAACTCTGGGAAAATGAGGTCTACAGGTTCAAAACCATCGGACAGTTGAAGGTGATTTTCTGTTTCTCTGTCAGACAAACGCGTCTGCATTTGAATTGTTGAATTATTACTGATTATATACTGTACAACAATGACTCCAGGCCATCAGTCAGTATTTACCCAGAGGAGATCTGCGTCTGAGACCGGCCATCTACGAGATGATCCTGCACGAGTTCCTGGGAACTGATTACGAGGTACTTCTTCATCGCTCTGACATTCCCTGTGTTGACTGAAGCTCTGGATGCAGTACTTCATTAACAGACAGAAAAGCAGACCGGAAGCAACCGAGAATCATGGGTAAAATCGGCATTAAATCTCGCAGTGTGTCAGTTTTGACCTCCTGCTCCTGTGACTGCAGGGTTTTGCCACGCTGATCCGAGAATGGCCCGGAGAACTGTACAACAACATGGCCATCGTCCAGGCTGTGACGGATCACCTGAAGAGAGACCCCAACAACAGCATCCTGCTCACCACACTGGCTGAGCTGTGAGACACCTCAACACAAACACCTTCTGACCACACGGGGGGGTCAGTTTGTTTGTTTGAGTTTGAGTAACGCGGGGTCTTTAACCATCCACAGGTACACGTATGACCAGCGTTACGACCGAGCCTTGGAGATCTACCTGAGGCTTCGGCACAAGGACGTTTACCAGCTGATCCACAAACACAACCTGTTCTCCTCCATCGAAGACAAGATTGTCCTTCTCATGGATTTTGACAAAGAGGTGCAGCTCAGACATCAGACAGATTTGTCGTCTTTGTCGTCCTCACTGTTCTGGTCTGGTCTTAGTGCAGGATCACATTGTTGTTGTTTTGTTTTTTTAACCAGAAAGCCGTTGACATGCTCCTTGACAATGAAGACAAGATATCAGTAGGTGTTATTTTCTCTGATCAATATTTTAAGAAAGATGTGTTCTAAATACAGTGTCCACTAGAGGTCTCTTTCTCTTGTCTTAACAGATAGACAGAGTGGTTGAGGAGCTAGCCCACCGGCCGGAGCTCCTACATGTGGTGAGTGACTTGGAGCAGCACCCAAACAAAGTTGACCAACAGAGTTTGTTCAGACCGGATGGATGTCGTGTTTTCTCCACAGTATCTTCACAAGTTATTCAAGAGGGACCACCACAGAGGACAGAAGTACCACGAGCGGCAGATCGGACTGTACGCCGAGTACGACCGACCCAATCTCCTACCGTTCCTCAGAGACAGCACGCACTGTCCACTGGAAAAGGTGGAGTTCTCACCTGATCTGTTACTGCTGCTGACACTAATGCTACCATCTCAGCACTAAACACGCCACATTCATTAAACTGAGACACTGTTATCGTTTTGTTTCCCTGTTTGTTTGTTTCCTTCAGGCTCTAGAGATCTGTCAGGAGAGGAACTTTGTTGAGGAGACCGTCTTCCTGCTCAGTACGTTCCATTAGAGTTTTCTGTTTTCAAAGTTTTTACAAAATGACCTCATTAAGATGTCTGCTCACAGGCAGGATGGGGAACTGCAGACGGGCCCTGCAGATGATCATGGAGGAACTGGAGGACGTGGACAAAGCCATAGAGTTTGCTAAAGAGCAGGACGATGCAGAGCTGTGGGAGGATCTCATCTCCTACTCCATCGACAAACCACGTATGATGACGAAGACACGAAGAAGTGTCTCACAGCGGGTCTCACCCGTGCGTGGGTTGTGTCTCTGTCTCTTGTCTCTTGTGTTGTATTAAGTTGTTGTTGTGTCTTCTGTCGTCTCTCCAGCCTTCATCACTGGTCTCCTCAATAACATCGGCACTCACGTCGACCCCATTCTGCTCATCCATCGCATCAAGGAGGGCATGGAGATTCCAAACCTGAGAAATTCACTGGTGAAAATCCTCCAAGACTACAACCTACAGGTCAGACGTGTTTGTCTGTGGTCATCAGTGTTAGTACAGTGTTTATAGATATTTGTAAAATGTCAAAAACAACACAATCGAGACCAGGACTCTAATTTTCAGTTTGGTTAGAAATTATATCACAACTAGTGTAGAAGCAGTGAAATTTACACAGATATAATATTAAAAAAACATAATTTAAAGTAAATATTAGTAGAAGAGCTGTGACAAGTCACAAATATAAATATCCCAGGTTTTTCACGTCAAATATTTGTTTTGAAGCCGGTGTTTTACAGTCACTACAGATAAAATCCACAAACTTTGCCCAAATCTTCTGACGGTTTCCTCTGGTTTCCCAAAGATCATGCTGAGAGAAGGATGTAAGAAGATCCTGGTGGCCGACTCTCTGTCCCTGCTGCAGAAGATGCACCGAACACAGATGAGAGGAGTCAGGGTGGACGGTGGGTGGAGGTTTTCACACGGAGCCAACAGACGATGAATCACCATGAACTCAGTGACTTTAAACTTTTCTTGGTTTGTTTTCTTATTCCAGAGGAGAACATTTGTGAATCCTGCCATGCTACAATTCTGCCCTCAGGTTTGTTTCTGCAGCAGTCTATTTTTAAACGATTTATAATAAATTAATTATAAATTCACATCTTTGTTTTTCAGACATGGCCAAAGCCTTCAGTGTGGTGATGTTCCAGTGCAGACACATGTTTCACAAAGAATGTTTACCATCCTCAGGGGCAGTAAGTGTCAACAAATGTTTAAAATGAGTATACAAAATCAGAATTAATTGAATTTTACATTCATTTATACATATATATATATAAGTTAATTTCAACTTTCCCACACTGAGACCCTTCTTTTCCCTTATACCATTACAGATTCCTGGAGTCCAGTTTTGTAACATCTGCAGTGCGAAGAGACGGGGACCAGGAAGTGGAATACTTGAGATGAAAAAGTAATGAGGATTTATGCACTTGGAATGCTGTTACCGGCATTTGAATCATGTCCCTCTGTCGTTTTGTTCCAGCTACGTTTTGTGTATCGATCAATAAATATCACTTTTCCTCAGTCACTGGATGTTACTCTTACAAAAAACACAAAGCGTTCAGATCAGATTTTCTCTGTATATTTAAGCCTGACAACTGTTAAAAGCACTGAACTAGTTCTACTTGCAAATAATGTAATTCGGTGAAGAATAGATTGTGAATATCAAAGAAATAAAAACATATAAAAACGGTGTAGTTTGTATCTGTTGACTGTTTGTCTCCTTCATAATTCGGTTTGGGTTTGTACTGGAAGATTAATATTATTTCAGGTGTTGGGTTGTGAAAAGTTTTGTACTGAAAGAAAGTTTAAAAAATATTTTTATTATATTATAAGTACAGTATATATTTGTATATACGTGTGAGTAGTATACACTGGTATGTGTGTATATATATATATACTCCGCATATTTATATACGTAAATATTCGGTCCAATATTACTTTAACAGAATAAAATTTTATTTTTACCATCAATTTTACATACAAAAAAGAAAGACAAAGAATGTTTAATAATACGCCAAACTTGGTTTTAAGTTTGACCGGAGGAACTGTGGCGTCACATCCGCTCGTTCCCTCCGGAAGTACAGTTAATTTTTATTCAGAGGGAGGAAAAAAAGAAAAGAACAGCTGTTGTTGGGGAAAGAAAACATCAAAAGTGAGTTTTAAATGACGCATTTTATGCTTTTACCGCGCTCCGAGTGTTTATGTGCTGCTCGACGCTGTATAAACCGCAGCTTCGTTGTGCGGGGCTCTCATTTCAAATGAGTTAAACAGCGAGTCCTGTTTGGCTCATTTGTTGCGAGTTGGCTGCCGCTGTTAGCATTAGCTGCCCTCACTGTGGACTACGGGGCTAAAAACTAGCCACTCTGAGCTAGTTACCTCAACATTCTCGACTCTAATCACAACTCCATTATTTAACAGCCTGTCTGCAGACCAGACAAACAATACCCACCTTTACATGGAGACGGCACGATTGAGTACATGCAAATGGTACATTGTGTGATTCGTTAGCCGTCGGGTTTAAGTGCGATCAGTGTTTGTGCCATGTTTACGTTTAGCCTCAGCCTCCAAACTTACAGGTGACAGCAAATGCTGAGGCAAAAATAAAATAAGGGTAAATAATGTGCATTTATTTTATTTTATTTTTTTCCTCTCGGGGGTAAATGTGTTCGAAATGTTTGTGTTTTGGTTTTATGTTGTCGCCTTTTCTTAGGTTGTGAAATCAGGTTGGAAAAGAATGCCTGACCTGTCCTGTGCAGGGAAAACGTTGAATGTGTTGTTTAGAATTTAAAATTAATTTCTTTCATTCGCCATTTATCACTTAGTCTTGATTGCTTTCATTCACAGCAGAGACTTTTTAATGTAGGTCGAGTGTGTGTCTTATATATTAATCATCCTTAGCATCAGTTGTGATTATTTTGGCTGTGTCATAGACATTTGTTTTGGTTGTTGGTTATAATGTGCATATTTCATTCATTAGCATCTCAATGGTTTATGTCGTGGCTTAATAAATAGGAACGTTTATACTGGGAAATTCATGTGGGACATTGATACTATTTATTTTTTAATAGTAAATTTTGGACAAAACAAATAATGTTGTTGTTCATAAGATCATTCAATAAGCTTCTTCAAAAATATTTTCCTCTCTCTAAAAAAGCATATGTGATAATACATACATCTCTTACTGTGTTGCTGTTTTTTCTTGCTCTATTACATTTGATGTAACCTGTGTTCATGATATGTTTGTTTGTTTTTTTTTGACAGAATGCCGGCCCCAAAGAGAGCGCCATCTCCACAAGAATCTCAACCCAAGATCAGGAAGTTGGACGATGATGGGGACGATCTACCATCCAAAACAGCACCAGCTGACATTAACAATTCCCTCAAAACAGGAAATGCACAAGAAAAGTCAGCCGTCCCTCGGACGAAGAAGAAACTGTCAGTGGAGGAGGAAGGAGATCAGTCACCTACAAATGATTCCAGCAAGAATTGGTCAGACCCACCTTTCAAAAAAGCTAAGCTTCTACACACCACAAGTGCCTCCTGCGAACAAACATCTTCACAGAAAGCCAACTCCAAAGCTCCTCTGAAGCGCTCAGCCTCCACAGACTCGGACGAGGAGACGAGCAGCGACGGTAGTAAGCTTGATCTCTTCAGAGAGGGAGATGATGGAGATAAAGCTCACTGTATAAGACAGTATGCCAACAAAGTCAAAGCACTACACAAGGCTGAAGAGTTACCTCCTTGTACAGAGGATAATAGTCATAAATTGACGTCTGCATCAGGAGAACTTGCCCATCCGGACCTGAGTTGTGGTATATATTCAGATTTACCAAATGTTGAAAACAGGGGTGAGAATCATCAGGAAGTGGAGAAAGAATCTGCAGTGTCAGCTGATCCCCAGAGACGGGGGGACCGGGATGATGCAGCAGAATGCAGGTCAGAGGAAACTTCAGCCTCTGCATCAGGAAGCTGTGAGGCTGCTGTCAGTGCTGAGTGTGGAGCCAAAGACAAGAAACTGGAGGAATTTAAAAATACAGAAATGCAACATTTATACAGCATCACATCTGGAGAAAATGGCAAAAATGACGAGACAGATTCTTTCAAAAATGAGGACGAGGATGACGGGCCTCGTCTTCACTCGGCACAGACACAGTTTTCTGGTACAGTGAATCCAATCTGCGATGGTGAAATCCACACCATCGAAATCACCAGCTCCAGGTGCAGGGCAGAAAATGAGACAGCTGTGGGCAGTGGAACTAAAACAACAGAGTTGGTCACTGAAGATATGATAACCAAAAGAGAAGGGGAATCAGTGGAAGAGACGTGTGAATCAGCCAGTGTCTCAGCACAGGTTAAAGACGCTGCTGGAGAAGAGAAAATGTCATCAACCAAAGGAAACACTTCACCTGATGAAATCCCTGCAGAAAATCTGAGCCCGGAGAGTCAAACGGATCTGAGCGTCAAAATTCAGCTTACTTTTAAAGAGAAATCTAAACCCACACAAATGTCCGACCAAGTTTCGGATAAAACGACCAACTCTGTCAGCAACGTACTGCAAATGTCTGAGGAAAGTGAAAGGAAGGAAGTTGAATTCCACTCATCTCTGGTTCTCACCAACTCTGGGTCCATCGCTGGTGTACAGCTCAGCCCTGATGAAACAGATGTGAAGACTGACAGCTGCACTGACATGTTGACACCTGGCTGTGAGGAGCTTCAGGAGCAGAGACAAATAAACCAGCTGGCGGACTCTGTTGCAGCCTCGGGAAGTCAAATAGATACCGACGTCCAGACTGAAACAACCTCAGAGGGGATTTCAGACCCGGCACCTGGAGCGGCGGCTCAGAATCAGAACGACAACAAAGGTGACGACATCAGAGACACAGACACTCCCGCTGAAGGAGGGGAAAATGTGACGGTTGAAACGACGACAAGGCTGGAAAATACAACAGCCTTTGATTGTTCCACTGGACAAAGTGTTCAGAGCAGAATGGATGTAAATATTTCTAATCCAGCGTCTGCAGTGGAAACACAGAGTCAAGGTGAAGCAGACACACAAAATCAGTCGGAGCAAAGGAGAGGTGAATACACTGCCCAAATTCCTGAAAAATTCCATCAAGAAATTATGTCTGAGAATTCAGAAACTTCAGCTGAGGGTGACACAAAAATGGAAAAACTTCCAATAACAACTTCAGACGTTGCCTCTCCTTCATCAACAGTCGAAGAGAAAGCTGAGCTGTGCCCTGAGGTGAGTCAACCAATCACAAACTTATCAGACAAATCACACGCACACTCATTTGTGAACTGTGAGAGCGCTGAACTTCAGGACGCTGTTGTCGATGCCGACTGTGGAACCTCTTCAGAAAATCAACCCGACGTGCATCCGACGACCGTAACCGTATCACAGGAACTTTCCAACGTGGAACGGCCACAATATCCGCCGCCACAGGATGTGGTGGAACCCACGACGGACATGTTTGATGTTTTACACGAGGAGCCAAAAGCTGACGACTTTACAGTCCAGGAAAATGACAACCACATCAACTCTGAGCCTGTGTCTACATCTGAGAGGGAACCCAACGTGGAAATGCATAAAGTGTCGACTTCAGAGAATTCTAACGTTAATGATTTAGTGGAACTGCAGAAAACAAGCGCTGCGGTGGAAATGAAAGCCCAGGACGTCTGTGAACGTGAGGCCAGTTCATCTACAGAAGCTCAGGACCAAACCACAGCTGACACTTACCAAAATGTGACAAACCTACAAATGCTGGCCACGTCAGCATCTGGCATCCCAAACGTTGCCTCTCCAGCGGGCGGAGAATCTCCGAAATGCCAAAAAGAAAGTGACGTGGACATGGAGACCACGTCGGCTGCAGAAGAAGCACCGGGCCTCAGGAATCCAGAGAACAGTGAACATTTCACTGACGTGTCCAGAGACCGTGCGACCGTGCCAGACAATCAAGTCCAAACGGAGATGCAGGTCACATCAACATCGGATTTCTCTTGTCCAGAGCACGAGGTGGAATTACAGAGTCAGAAAAATCAAGAAAATACTGGATCTACTCAAGGCAGGTCAGAAGAAGTTCAAGTGGACGAGTGTAACACAAGTGAAAACCAGGTCGTTACAGAAACAGAAACGCACACAACGGACACAATAGAGGAGATTTTCAATACAACTGTGAAGGAGCAGAAACATCAGGACGAATGTCGACCCGACGAAGGTGTCGAGTGTCAAATAGATTCCAATATGGAGGACGACAAAGAAGGGGTTTTCTCTGAAAAAGTCGGAGATCTGGAAAGTCAAAGAGAGATCTGTGTAGCTGCAACGTCTGATTCAGCACCTTTAGTGGAACGTCAGAAAGTCGATACAAACATTTATATAGAGACTGAGATATTTGGGACTGAACAAAATGAGGAAGTGTTTGCTGCTGCGTCTTTCGAGGCTCCAGAAATTCATGGAAATACAGAAACAGCTGCGGTGCCTGGGGATAATTCTATTTCTGCACCTGCAGTGGATCAGCAGCAGGACTTGAGGAGTGAAATAGTTCCTGAGCACTCTCTGCTGTCTGCAAACTTGCTTCAGAAAAGTCATTCTGATTTAGGCAACATGGTGAATACACCTGGAGAGTTCCAGAAGGATGTGGACACGACGAGCGGATCAATAGAAGCTGTTAATGCTGCCTCAGAAGAGGAATTGGGAGAGCAAATGATTTATGAGGCCAGAGAAGGGACTGCAGTGGTTCCTGATGACGAGGCCCACGGAAGTGTCGGCAGCACCGAGAGTACGGGGGACGGAACTGGCAGCGGCGAAGTAATTGTTTTGGTCGGCCAATCAGATGTCAGCAACAGCGTTAGTCTGGCTTCAGGTGAGCAGATGAAGATGAGCGATCGGGCCGAGATGCAGCATCACGAGAACGACATAGTGTACGAGCCAATTAGCAGCCCCGAAAGTAACGATGACAGGGACCTGCCTGCAGTTCTGGAGAAGCACAGCGGTATGTCCATTCTGGACATACAGGACACGGAGACGCAGCAGTTTATCAAAGGGACATTTGCTAACGAAGTCTCTCACACAGGAGTAGAAGATGAAGAAAGTGGAGCGGCCGACGGCCAAACAGCAGCAGCAGCAGGTGAAGTTGAAGAGATGGAGGTGCAAAGCAACAGTGTTTCAGAAAGTTCTCCACCTGTTCTGTCAGAGCAGGACACGGTACAGGACCAGGAGACGTGTCAGGAGACGTCCACCGATCAAGAGAACACAGAAATCTGCAACCTACGAGCAGAGGATGAAGACGACGTTCAGGGCCCCCTTGTGTCTGTTGGCCAGTCTGCAGCGTCAGTTGACATGGAAGTACAAAGTACTGCCGTGTCAGAAACATGTACTTCTTCAAACTTAGAGCAGAGTAATACCAGTGAAGTACCAGAACTCCATTCCACAGAGGACCAGGAGTTATTAGAAACAGTAGCCGAAAATGATGAGATTGAACTCCCTGATCCACCAGTGGAGAATGAAGAACTTGTTGAGGAACAAACTGACAGTCAAACACCAACAACGACGGTCAACGTGGACGTGCAACACATCTGTGAGCCAGAACCGTTGGTGCAGTGTAGCGTGAGTAACACACTGCAGCCCTCAGACCCCGAGCTGATGAAAGAAGAAATCACCAACACACCGGTGTCGATGGAAGAAAGTGTTCAGGAAGAACATAATGATTCTGAACTGCAAACTGCAGCACCGTCTGTCGACCACAGAGGGAGCATCAGTATGTCAGCGAGCACAGAAACACAGAGGACGGGAGACTTATCTACAGACGTTTGTGAAACACAAGGACAAAACCAGGATCTAAGTCGTACGTCTGAAGGCCAGTCTCCGGCAGCACCAGTCGATGGGGAAGTTCAAAACAGCATCGAGTCAGAAACCTGTTCCACTGCGCAGCTAGAAGAAATCAAAACAAAAGAAGATGTTTCTGCTAATGAAGAAAACAGTGAAATTATCGACGCACTACAGGAAGTTCTAGAAGAAGAAGTTCAGGAGCACGCTGGCATTTTGGACAGTCAAGTGACCACAGGAGTTGAACTGGAATCACACGTTAGCAGCTTGTCGGAAACCTCTTCTACTGCACAGTTGAACAACATATTTGAAATGAAAGAGACGGAGACCCAACAGGTAACAGAAAACACACCTATCAATGAGGAAAACATCCAGGTGGAAGTTGAGGAAAGTCTCCACTAATGAGGACAACACCGTCGGCAGCGTCCAGGTGGAAGTTGAGGAAAGTCTCCAGGAGCAAGTTTGTGTCTCTGACAGCGAAACAGCGACAGCAGTTGAAATGGAAGTACAAAACACCACTATGTCAGAAACAGCGCCCTCTGCACAGGTGGAGCAGAATCACATGAATAATGCACTGGATGTAAACCACGGTTTGGACACCACAGGCATCCAGCAGATAATACAAGACACGTGCTCTGATGATGAAGAAGGTCAGGACCGTGAGACGCAGGTTTGTGTAAACGACGGTGGAGTGACGGTCGCAGCCGTCGCTACGGAGGTGGAGAACGTCGCTGTGTCAGAAACTGTTCTTTCTGCACAGTTGGAGCACGGTTCAAAACAGGACACAAACACGGTGGAGACTGAGCAGTTGCAAGGAGACGGATCTACTGATGAACAAAAGGAGAAAATGCCAAATGAAGACGACACTGAGCAACAAACACCTGCAGCAGTCGAGTCGGAGGAGCAAAAAACGAGTGTCGAGGAAACTTCTCCCACTGAAGTACAAAGCATGGAGACTGACCTGGTAGAAGAAGCTGCAGCCAACGATGAACAAAACCAAGAAATATACAACCAACATGTCGAAACGGAAGAAGAAAAAGTTCTGGAACAAATTTTTGGGCCATCGGATGAGATGGAAGTGCAGAGCAGCATGGAGTCAGAGAACTCTCCTCCGGTGCAGTCTGAGCAGAGTAAAATACATTCACATGAGGACCAAGTTCCCACGACAAGTTCCAGTGATAATTTCAACCTTTCAGAAGATGGAACTGTGAAAGACGGCACCACAGAGTCTCCCAGCTCCATGGAATTTTCAGAACCCAGGACACAGGAAATCGTAGCATCGCCAGAGGCTGGAGGTTTGGCACCGCCTACAGTCCAGGCGGAGATGGCGGACGGTACGTCTGAAGAGTACGTGATCCTAGAACCGGTCCCAGACAGTGAAATCCCCTTTGATATCGTCACTCAAGCCGTGGCACAGTCGGGCTTGAACATTTCACTTCCACAGGAAGAGAAAGCGGCTGAGGAGATGTGTGATGTCATCGGTGTTGACACCGCACAGATGGACCTGGTCGACGCTGAGCTTCAGCACACCTATGAGGATTGTAACACCGTCCAGGTAGAGAACGCCGGCGATCCTCTGGTTGAAGATGTGCAGATCCTGCAGGACATAGAGATCGGACGTGAGGTCGTAGTGGCCGAGGAAGACAACGTGGAAGACGGCGATGTTACCATAATAGAAAAACAACCGGAGACCCCTCAGGAAGCGCCCTCTAAAGAGCCCGATGAGAAGAAAGATGAAACGCCGAAGGAGGACGACAGTGGGACCAAAGTGCAGCAGAACAGCACAGCTGACCAGAAGAGTGAGGAGAACCAACAGCCGGTGTAGCCAGAAAAACCCAAGAAGCAGGAGATGAACACGCAGGCCCGGACCAAAGCTCGACTGGCTGCTTTGGCGGAGCAGAGGGCGGCCGAGGCCAAGAGAGCGCCAAAAAGGGAACAGTTGAACCTCCTAGCTCTGTGTCAGGAAATTGCGGAGGACATTGCCACAGACAGCATGCTTCTGAAGAGAATCGAGGAGGAAAAACAAGCGGCGGCCGCGGCAGAAGCAGCTAAGGCTGAGGCCAGCAAGAAGGAGAGTCCACCGGTCCCTACGCAGGCTTCAGAAACTGCTGTTATTGCACCCCCTGCTGGACCAGAAGAACCCTCTGCTTCAGAGTCTCCTGCTCCACAGGTGCAGGAGGAAGTGGCTGAAGGCCAGCCAGTGACAGCTTCAAATTCAAGCGACGCTCCGCCGGCTGCAGAGGCTCCAAAGAGGCGCTTCTTTATCTCACAGATTTCTGTGCCGCTGAAAGTCCACGAGAAAAAGAAGCTAACGAGGTATCAGCGACTGAGACAGGTCGAGCTGCAGCGGGAAAAGATGTCCTGGGCACGTGTGAAGAAACTCAAGTCGGATCAAACAAACCAGATGTTCTCGGAGATGGACTGGCAGCCACCGTCCTTCCTCTCCTCTCAATATCCAGCAAGTTCAACGATGACGACGACGATGACGACGACGACGACAACGACGACGCCTTCCTCTCCAGCCAGCCCGTCCAGCAAGTCATCTCTGAGTCCTGCCATAACCAGCAAACCCGCTACACCCCCCAAGACTGAAGTTCCCGAAGATGAGACTCCAAAAGTTGAATCCACCAAAACTGTCCCTACAAAGTCGGAACCTAAAACGACAACAGCGAACGACGCAGCACCTCCAGAACCTGCACCCACTGAACCAGAACCGCCCAAAACAGAGACGCCTAAACCCGACACTCCTGTCACCGAGACACGTAGAAGTACGAGGCAGAGAAAGCCTCCCGAGTCCGCTCCGCCTGCTCCAGCCCCGGCACCGAAGGTGACCAGGTCAGGTGCCAAGCGGAGTCTCCCGGCTGTGCCTCCACCGATGCCTAACGGACTAAACAATCAAAAACCCAAGCTCACCATCGACTACAAGCCGTACAGACCTCGGCCCAGGTACTCCGCCGATGACTTCGAACTGGACGACGATGACATGTTACCTCCGAGAAGGCCCAACCCACAGTCACGGCCCGCGGCACCCGTACGGCCCGGCCTTCAGTCGCACCCCGCTGGTCAGTCTAAAGCCACAGTCCAGACAAAACCTGCCGCTTCATCACATCCTGCCACTCAGGCCAAACTCAGAGCTCCGCCCACTTCAGCCCGACCCGTCCCCGCTCAGTCGAAGCCCGGTGCTGCAGCTCAGCCAAAGCCCGCAGTTCCCACCACGCCTCAGTCCAAACCTGCTGCGGCTGCGACCACTGTCCAGTCAAAGTCCACAGCTACAGCGGCGTCCTCCAAACCTGGTCCTTCTGCCACGAAACCAACCGTCCAGACGGCAGCCAAGTCGAATTCAGTTCCAGCTGCATCTGGACCGACTGCAGCTCAAGGTTCTGCTCAGTTAAAGACGACTTCTACCGCGACATCATCTCAACCTGCTGATTCAACCGCACCAGAGAAGAAACCTGAGGTCCAGGAAACTGACCCGGAGTCAGCGTCGCAGAAAACCTCAGCTCTGCCTTCAGGAGACAACAGCAACTGCAAGGTAGAAGTATATGTTAAAAAAACAAAACAAAAAAAAACACACATTTAAATTATAACAATATAATAATAGTCATCTCTTCTTTTTTTTTTCTTTTTTTTTTGTAGGAGTCAGCGAATCAACTCTCCAAAACGTCCACCTCTGAAGAGAGCGTGAAACTGTCAGATGTCAAAGATCAGTGTGAGAGTAAACCTGAAGGTACAGTGTGTGTTAGTGTGTAGTTGTACTTTGTCAAGTGTATTTGTACTTGATGTAGTCGTTAGGATTTATGTGCTGAGGTATTTAAAAAAAAACAAGCTTTGTTTGCACTGAATAAATACCAGGAGTGATTTTATTTTCCCTGCTGTTTGTCGAGGCTGGTGTATCTAACTAATATCGTCAAGTCTTTTTCATCATGTCTTTTTCTGTGGTTTTCTTACAGCGGCCGATGTTCGTGTATCTGCAGGGAACAAGTCCGAAACCCCCGAGACGGACGCAAAGACCTCGGAAAAGCCATGTCAGGAGTAAGAAACTTCTCTTTATTTTATCGGTTTGTGTTCGTACCAGAAAAAGGAAAATGGAAATACCAGGAGTATAAAGTGATTTTTATTTGTTTTTTTACAGCAGACCAGTGAAACCACAGGACACGGGGACTCCTCTGTCCGAGGCCTCTTTACACAGAGAAGTGAAGAAGCTGAAGGAGGCAGACAAAGATGGCACCCAGACCATAATAGTGAGTTACTCTCATCAATTTATGATTTTATTTTTCTGTCATCTTTGCATTTTTCTAACTTTTCTAACTTCTTTTGTTCATTCTTCAACTGTACGAACATTCACGATGATTGAGTCTCTCTTTACGTATCCTGCCCTCGGTCCAACATACACAGCTCTGATTGGTTCTTGCAGACTTCATCCATTCTAGATTGTTTTTTTATCACTTAAAAAAACACATCAATAAATGTGTTGATTGTCATTTGGTTCCCAACAGAACTTAATGTTTAGTTTGTTTATGTTTATGTCGGAGAAACGAAGGTTGTTGACTGAGTGGAATTAAGATGAAATTGATAAGAATTATGATGAAACTTGAAGCACTGGGTTCAACATGTATTGAGTTGTGATGTGTTTTTTTTTTTTTTTTTTTCAGGACGCCGGGCAGAAGCATTTCGGAGCGGTGGCCTGCAGCGTGTGTGGGATGCTCTACTCCGCTGCCAACCCCGAGGATGAATCTCAGCATTTGCTCTTCCACAACCAGTTCATCAGCGCCATCAAATATGTGGTGAGAGCGACTCTGCCGCAGTCGAACGTCTCGGCCTCTGCCTCGCCGACTTTTCGGGACTCCATGCCAATGTTTTTAACGTTTTTTTTTTTTTCTGCGCTGTTACTGCAGGACTCCATGCCATTGTTTTTAACGTTTTTTTTGTTTTTTTTGTTACTGCAGGGCTGGAAAAAGGAAAGGATTCTTAGTGAATTTCCTGACGGCAAGATCATCCTGGTGCTGCCCGACGACCCGAAATACGCTCTGAAGAAGGTAAGGTTCACGGAAACAACTCTCTCAGATGTACAGTTCAAGTTCAGCACCACGCTGGACTGACATTATTAAAACTAACAGTGAATTCTTTCAGAAATTATGTTAATTTTTCACTAAAAGTTTATTGTGAAGTTTCTCCACATGTTCTTATTTGTGCTTCAGAAATGTTTTGTGATGTTATGTTTTCACTGGAAGTTTATTGTGTAGTTTCTCCACATGTTCTTATTTGTGCTCCAGAAATTGTGTTTTGTGATGTTATTTTTTCACTGGAAGTTTATTGTGAAGTTTGTCCACATGTTCTTGTTTGTGCTCTGTTTTAAAAATACATGATCTTTGGGTCAAAATTAAGAAGCTAAATTAAATTGTGTTTTTATTTATTTTCTCTCTTGAGAAAGTTGTTTCACTAACCCTTGATGGAAGTCATTGAAAGTGTTGAAACTGTGGAATTTAACTGTGTTTAAGCTGAAAGATTTCAAGAAAACCACGGTCGAAGCAGCAGAAATAAAACTGAAATAAGACTGATGTTCAGGCATCACTTTGTCATTAAGTAACAATGTCTTGTCTCAGGTGGAGGAGATCAGAGAGATGGTGGACAATGACCTTGGCTTCCAGCAGGTGGAGTCCAAGTGTCCCTCTCAGACCAAGACCTTCTTGTTCATCACAAATGATAAGAAAGTGGCTGGATGTCTGATAGCAGAACACATCCAGGAGGTGAGGACGCTTAGAAAACCGGCTCAGATATGAGTTGAAAAAAAAGTTTAAAATCTGAGCCTGGTGTTTGTGTGGATGCTCCAGGGTTTCAGAGTGATCGAAGAGCCAGGACCAGAGGGAACGGAGGGAGAGAAGGTGATGTTTGAACGGCAGAGAGCCTGGTGTTGCTCCACCACACCGGAGCCGGCCATCTGCGGCATCAGCCGGATCTGGGTGATGAACACGATGAGACGTCAGGGGATCGCTTCACGTATGCTGGACTGCCTCAGGTGTGTTTGGCAGAAAAGAAAAGAAAAAACTGATTTTAATTTAGTTCCAAGATCATTAACTCTGTTTTGTGTTTTTTTTTTACTCCAAAGGAACAACTTCATATACGGTTCGTACCTGAGCAAAGACGAAATCGCGTTCTCCGACCCGACCCCCGATGGAAAACTCTTTGCCACGCAGTACTTTGGCACTTCCCAGTTTTTGGTTTATAACTTTGTGAGTGGCAGACACTCGTCACCCGGACCTAAAACTGGCTCAGTATGACAGTCTCCAGGAGAGGTAACGGTGGCTCCCAACTCACTCTCTGACTGATTCACTCCTCATACTGACACTTTTCTTTACGTGCATTATAACTTCAATAAAGAGAAGGAAATACACCACACTGTAAAGGAATTCTTGGAGAAGCTCCACATTGGTTCAAATCTCAGGATGAAAACAACGAGGCGTTGTTTGGAGAAAATAATAATAATAATGTACGTAATTTTACCCTTTAATCCCTGCATAGTATTTTGAAGAGAAAGGAAAAAGTATTTTCTTTATACGTTTCTAAGCAAACAATTGGTTTTTGTTCAGATGCAGGAACGATAGAACACAAAGAAAAACATTTCACTTTATTTTCCATGACCAGACGACATTAGAAACAAAACACAATTGATTCATTTAATGGTTATTTTTAGAATTTTTCTTTCTTTTTTTTTTGTTTTTTGGGATGATGTCGGAGCAGCACCGTGTACTTTTACCAACGCCCTCCTCCTAACATTTCAAATATTTCGTCCAAACAGGTGATTTCTTTTATTATTGTTGTTGTTTCTAACGACGGGACTCGTTCTGGCCGACTGAGAGAAGAGAGTTTCAGAGCAGGAGCTCGGGCATTACCCAGAGTGCACTTCTTTCTTTCTTTTTTTTTTCTTTTTCTTTTTTTTTATAAACATCACGTTGCCTGACCTGTTTAGTTGTTAAAACCTGAGCCATATACTGTACAACATCACGTGGGGCATCGTAGCCTTTACTGTACGAAGTGACGTCCAGAGCCTGTGAGCGTGAGCCGGTCTGCTCGTCGCTCCTCTAAGATCGCTGCACTCACCTACTGTCTGACGTAGATCATGGGATTACGTCCCCCTTTTTTTCCTCCTTCCTTTAAAAAAATCACGCTGCCTCTTTTACAGTTAAACTCAAACCTGGGGTTGAAAAATAAAAAAAAAGGACAGGAAAAGTTGTCGCTCGCTCCGCGCTCTGTCTGGGCCCCGCCCACTGTCTGGGCCCCGCCCACTCTGCTCACACGCTCTGATGACGTCGTCTTGATTTGTTTGTGCCTCGGTGAATAACGTGTGATTATTTTGACTTGTTTTTTGTTTTTTTTTTTGGTTTAGTTTTTTTGTTTTGTATCCATAATTGCCTTTGGTGTTTTTCTTGCGTTAGAGTAGATTCTCATCCTCTTATTCCTTAGTAACAACAAATTAAAGTATATATCAGTGTTTCATGTAGATTTATGCATACTATAATACATTTTTATAACTGAAGATGATGATGATGATGGGAGTTTTTAAAACGGTAATCCATGTCACCCAGGTTGTGAGTACTAACGGGAGTATTGGCTCAGCTGATGAACCTCCGCCGCTCCACACACACACACACACACACATACACACACACACGGATCATTGTAATCCACCTTTATTTTCCTCTACTGTGTACAAGCCGTTGCTTTTAGACAAATGTGTCCTGTAAGAAAAAAAAAAAGACATTTGATTTATACCGAGCTGTTATGTAAATATTTATTTAAATAATAAACTCTTTAAAATGTTTGTATATTTATATATTTTTTATTTTATTTTAGCACAGTTTACTTCGGAGAAGAAAAAAGGTAAGTTGACACCGTGTGATATCACTGGTGATCATCGCCATCTAGTGGGTGTTGGGATTGCGTTGTGCACCAGTGAGGTTTCTTTATTGATGTGCATGAATCACATTTGTTGTTATGTTTCACCGTAGACGGACAGTTTGTTAAGACACTTATTTAAGCACATTCACCTACTTTGAAGTATTTACAGTATTATTTTGAAATACTCTAGTACTACTTCAGATTCTTCCCGATCGAAAAATAAGGAATAATATCCAGTCTAAAGAAAATTAAACTTTTAATAGAGTCTAAGGATTATGTTTCAACCTTGTTTAAATCATTAAGGAGGCTCTGTTGGAGTTTAGGGCTGCGTTTCAGCTAGTGGTACAAAACAATGATTAGTAAGAATAGTTGTCAGACGCTAACAGACATCACGGGTGACCAGAAATGTCATTGACAATGACAATGCTTAGAAAAAATATTCTGACTTGAACAATTCACCTTTCGTGTCATTTTCAGAGCGGACCATAAACGAGCGGAGGTCGGTGAAAACAGCGTAAATACCGATGAGACAAATGCTACATTTTTGAGATAAGTGTGAATCCTGTGATTGTCTGCGGCTGTTTTCTCTTTGTAGGTGCAGATGTAAACACTCTGGTCTCAGTGCATTCCTCGGCGCTCCTGTCACAACAGCGCAGCAGCTCGATGGCAACTTCAGAGAAGAGAAACAGCCTTAGAACAACACGGACACTTCCTCCGAGGGAGAGTGAGAAAACACGCCGTTCCTCCGCTCGTCTTCGTAGATCTGATAAACTGATCGGCTGCAGAAAACAACCGAGCTAGGTGCCTGTGACACGGCGGTCACCTTGGCCTTTTTGACCTTTTGCCTTATTGGGGGGGGGTCATCACAGAGGCGACGACGAAACTCAGCTTTTGAAAACACATTTTTATTCATTGTTACACACAGACGTGATGAGACGAGTTGTCAGCTGCCACATTGTAAACAATAAAACGTTCGGGGCTATTTTTGTTATCGGTAACATCGTCTTTTGGCTACACAACCAATACACGGAATAATATCGTCGACATATACAGGCAGTTTCTATTAATTCAACATCAACATCATCATCGACCACAGCCCTCAGTGGAGACCGGGCCGCGACCACACGCTGAGGGTTTTTCCTGTGTGTGCAGTAAGGATTGGCCTGGTTGCCTGACATCTGCGGGGACGTGATCTGTTTTAAACGAGATTACACTAATTCTCTTCTTGTTTTGTTCACAGGCGACCTATTAGGAGGACAGAGCTGCTCTGGAGGATACCTGGTAAGTACAGTACACCGTCAAGAAAACGTTTGCTATTAACGGACCGGGCTAAGAGCACATGTTGTACTTCCTAACATACTGTACACGGACAAATACTAGTACAGGCTCCTGCGTGTGTGTGTGTGTGAGATGTACGGTCATGGTACTTGATAGGACGGTGTGTAATGCCATGATTATGACCATGTCAAACTGTAGGCACCGGAAAATGGTCATGGTTATGGCCATGTCAAACTGTAGGCACCGGAAAATACGATCAAAGACAGAGAATCCTAACAGCGTACACTCACTATACACCAGGAAATATTTGTGGTACTTCTTAATACATGACATGGCAGTACTGTTGTGTTTTTCTAATCACAAAATAAATAGTATGAGTCGATCCTTTAAAGTCTCCAACTGCTGGAGAATTGGGGTTTTTGCTGTTAGCAAGAAAGCTTCACAGAAATGACATTTCAGGTTCCATTTTCTGCGTTATGTGTTGATCACCGTTTCTACGCTGCTTCTTGACATCGTTTCTAAATTTTAAGCATAAAAAAGGCAATTAGCAACAACTTAGTCCTTAAGAAACCGTACAAGTACTAGGAGAAACTTTTTTGGAGGAGCTAGCTCTTATCTCTTTGGTCCAGCATGTCCTCTGAATTCATTTGATCGACCTTTGACTTCTGAAAGGTTGATCATAAGATGGGACAATGTTCGCCACAAAAGTTGTACAAGACGTCCAACATGTCGGGATCTTGAAGCCTCCTGTTCACTGCACCCTGACCTTTCCCAGGCTGCACCACTACCACCTCACCATCGGGGGGAACCTCCACCATTGGATGAACTTTGTTGTCCTTCATTTTAAAGTCAGTCACGCCACCTCCAGGCAACATGCCGTTCCTCTCCGCCTTCACCTCGGACTCCTGTGAGTTTTCCGTTGCGTCTCTGATGCCGTTGTCGACTACGTTTGTGTCGTCCTGACCGAAATCTGAGTCACTCGTGTGCGGCAAGGAAAAGTATGTGCACTTTTTGGAGATGGGGTTTTCCTTGTCATGTGGTCCTGGGTTTGCACTCGTACCGTCATCAGTTCCATCGATCTGAGGAGAGTTGGAGAAGGTCGTGTATATTCCAGCCGGATCTGAAAAAGATTTTCTGATCGTCGGCGTGTTTTCTCTCAGAAGCCACTGTCCGTTATCAATGTCGTCTTCGGGCTCCACCTGTGCATTGAAGGCAATGCATCGTGTTGCTTCTGTTAAGGTGTCGAGTGCGTTAGTGGAGTAGAAATAAGTCAGTTCTGACATTTTCCTGGATCGGGCCATTTTCAAGGAAGAGAAAATGCTGGAGCTCGGCTTCTGCTTCGGTGCCGACGACGGCCTTTCGCCGTCCTCGTCCTGATCTTTCCTGCCGTAGAGCCTCTCGATGGTTCTCCTCACAAAGCCTTTGGTGATGAAGTTTCGTGCTGGATCTTCTTCACTGCCAGAGAGCTTGGCCGACGTCTGGCTCTGATAGTCATCACTCCCTGAAGTTTCAGTTAAGTTTGGACTGGAGAAGCCTTTGGATCCGTGCTGAACATCCGTCGCGCTCTTTGCGAGGAACATTTCTCGAATGGATCGGACTCGGCCTTCGGGCTCGGTGGTGATCACGCCACTGGAATCGTAGCTGAAGGACAGTGATGACTGGGGAGCTGATCTGGTGCAGAGACCCGACTGAGATGACGGGGATTCCGATGAAAGGTTTTCAGCGTCAGAGTCCGTGATGCATTTCTGCGAAAGACGTCGAGTCGCAGGAGTTTCTGGAACATTTTTCCTTTTCTCCGACTCGGCGACGTGCTTTTCCAGGAGGCTTATCCTTTCTGCGACAGACTGGGATATTCCTTTAACGGAATCCTCTTTGGCTTTAATTGCATCATCTTCACATATCGTGACTTCAAACTGGGTTTCTGATACCGGGGCTTCCTGATGTTCTTTACCGCCCCCTACCCTGTGTCTATGTTTATTCAGCATTTCCCTCTCTGAGCTGGATGAGCAACTGTTGCCGTTTTTCAAACTAATATTCTGGTCACTGCCCAGACCTCCATTAACAGTTTGAAGACCACCTGTGTCTGATCTTCTCAGTTCATCAGCATACGGTTCCTCATCTTCCTCGATCTCTTCTATCAAAGCCTTTAGTTTTTTACTTTTCACCTCCGTGTCCTCCTGATCTGATGAACTGACGCGCTCCTTCTCTGACCTGGTCTCGGACAGACGTCCCTCTCCTCCGCCCTCTCCTTCCTCACATTCAACTTCCAGCTGATCTTCATCTGAGTTACCTGAGCCTCCATTAGCTCCATCACCTAATCCTCTGATTGGTTTATGACTTTTTGGCCCGGTCTCAGAATTTTCAGGATCTGTTGAATCTCGACATGGTTCCACTGGTTGATCTTTTCTCGTCAAAGACGGTCGTTTCCTGGTGATGTTCAGCTCAACGTAATGCTGTATTTCCTTCTCAGATTGATCGTGATTAGTTGCCTGGTTCGTTGGTTTTACGTCAGCTCTGAGACTGTTGGATCTGACGTTCATGTTAGCTCCTGAAAGAGATGCTAACTCCTTCTTGAGTTTTTCTGGGAGGTCAAGGTCACCAATGACCTGGTTGACGAAACGCTCCTGATCTGGACCACCGTCGCTTCTTTCGCCTCCAGACAAACTGTTGCCGCAGTCGTAATTAGTTAGGGTTTCGTCTCTAGACAAACTGTTGCCGCAGTCGTAATTATCGCAGATTTTTTGAAAGTCCGTCCAACTTTGGAGGAGCTGCTCGGACGCAGACCGGTGGAGATTTGACAAACTAGTTTTCATCTTTTGGGAATCCTCAACGCCGGCAATTTCCCTGAGAGAATCGATCACCTGCAGAGCCTCGGAGCAGCTGACGTGGGCTGCATTCCATTTTCCTGCATCGAAGTTGGTCAGACCTTCTTTTACGCTCATGATGGACAAGAAAACCAGGAGAGTATTTGATGGAGAGCCGAATGTAGCGGCCACATGAGCGGGGTAGTCAGGCGGCCTGGACTGTGTGATTTGATTGATTTTATTTATTGAGAAGTAAATTTTTTCCAACACCGCTTTTGTGTGGAGCTGGTTTGCGGCGATAACGCCATCTGTCTGTGGTTTTTGGTGATGTTTTCTGCTCAGTGTTTTCCTCCTTGTCCTTTTTTCAGGCTCTGAGGACACGTCAGAGGACAGGCTTCTGGACAACGTCTTCCTGATGGACCTGTGTCTGACCGGTGGTGACGCCAAGTCCAGAGACTGAGAATACGGAGATGCTCTCTGCTGCAGTTTGTCTTGATGAAGTTTCCTCCTCCGCTGCTGCTGCTGCTGCTGCTGCCGGGTGGGCGTGGCATTTGGTTGTATTCCATTTGTTGATACGACTTTATCTGGACGGTGACCTCGAAATGACCTCGTCCAGTCTTCACTTTGGGGTTTTCTCTTCGGGTCCGGGCTGCTTTTTATTGGCTCTTTTTTCACGGGTGACGTTGACGTGTCCGTCTCTACAGGTGGGACATCGTCCAGATTTGAATGTCCACTTGATGAGATGCTGATGGAGGACAGTCCTGACGTCGTACTGGACCGTGATGCCGGGGGACAACGTGACGGGATGGTTTTTAAATCACAGACGCTGTTTGAATTCTGAGTCTTTTTCGGACTTGGTGGAACATCGGAGCGATCACTGACGCTGGTGATCGGTACCGATGACGTGGTTCCATCTGACTCTGCATCAGAACCCAGAGTGAACCTGTGCAGAGAAGCCTTTCTGAGGGACATCTTTCTTTCAAACGACTGGTCGCTGATCAGCGGCACCTTTTTAATGGGTTGATGTTTCGATAACGAAGCTTCGTTTTGGGACACGGTGTTTGTCAAGTGGTGATTGGCTGATGTGACCTGGTCAGAGGTGGATGTGACAGATGAGGGCTGGTGATTGGACGTTTTACTGCTCATTGATGAAAGCCTGTCAAACGAGCTGCTGGCCTTTGAGGATCCATCCGCCCGGCAGTGTTCGCTCTTTGATTGGTCCACGTCTGGTGCAGTTCCTACAACCAAGTTGTTCTGATGTTCTGTGTTTGTGATGGTTCTTTGGTTTGAATCGGTTTCGTCCTCCTGCTCCGCCGCTGTCTTCATGTTGGAGGAATGGGATTTGTTTTCGAAGCGCTGGATTTTCAGTTTGACAGACGACGTCTCACGGTCGGATTGAAGACTCTGCTGTGATTTTGTTGCAGATTTCTCCTCCTCCTCCTCTTCCTCCTCCGCAGCAGCGTTGAACCCACGTGCCTCCCCGGAACTTTCCTTTGTCCTCGCTGCCTCTGGTGTCTGATGAATCACGTCGGGGTAAGAGCTACAATTGGTCATGTTTTTTTCCAGCCAGTTTTGTACGTATTCGTCGGTGACAGACGGAGAGTCAGGAAGTCGGGTGGTTTGGATAATATCACCTGACTTCTTTTCATTTTTCTTCTCCAGATGTGCTGCTGGTTGGACTGGAATTCCTCTGCGTTGACCAACCTCTGAAGGTAACGTCCTGTTGCCGTTGTCTGTGACTGTTGTCTGTGTATTTGGTTTTTCAAGACTTTTGACGCCATCTGTTGGCCGCGTGCTGACACTGGATACACCAACATCCCTTTTCTGTGTCAAATTCTTTTTAGGCTTTTTTGTAGTTTTGGTTTTATTCCCATATATTCTTTTTATAAACTTAGCGCTGGAGAAAGATTTCCCTTTTGTACGCGTTTGTTCTGCGGAAGTATTTTTTTTCCTTCTCACTGGCGTCGACAGTCGTTGTTTGGGTTTGTGGGTCGGCCTCCTGCCTTTGCCTTTGGCTGATTTTGGAACACTTCCTGTTTGTATTCTACTAGTCGTCGGTGACACGGTCGTTTCTGACCGCACGGGATCGGTTTTCCTCAGAGGTCCACGCTGTTCCGGTGCGACGTCATCCCTCCCTGTTTCTGTTGACGCAGGTCGAGCAGAGTTCGACCTGAACGTTGACCTGTCGTCTGCACATATATTAGCAAGAAAATTATCGTGACAGTTCTGCTGTTCGTAGATGTGTAAGACGGTCTCCGTGACCTCATCTCCACTGGATTCCACCTGCAGAACCTCGCTCATCCCGGCGG